ACTCGAAATGTTAGAATCAGAATTTTTTATCCATTAGATCCGTGATCCAAAAATAACGAAGAAAGTTCATGGTAGTCAACACAACGTGCACAAACTCCAGCAAAACCGCTAAGTGTCCTACGACGACTGGAACACAGTCAAGTACCACCGTCCAGAAAAAAATTGTCCCATTCTGACAAAAAAAGAAATTCAAGCATAAGGAAAACAAACATGAATGTTTTTTCTTCTCCAAACTTTAGCAAAAACATGGAAGGATTTCTGAGGACTGGAAATTTGCAAAAATATGTATTTTAATATTATTTAATACTAATGATATCTATAGACAATTGTTTCTTTAAAAAATCAAACCTTAAGAATGATTTAGGAATAGCCAAAAAACACCTTTTGTTTTTAAAGCAACGCATTCACTTATTGGATGGAGCCTGAGCTTTTACATATGATTTGTAGCCTATTTAAAACACACATTTGGAAGCCAAAATCCACAAGCTACAGAGGAAAAGATTATATCTTTTGATGGAGAAATGATCCCCTGAGCAAGCTGGTACACATGTTCGGCCCTAATTGAATAATTAGATAGACAAACAAAGGCAGACGTGCGATAGTGCCAATAATTTCATAAATTTTGCCGCTCCTTCTAAAAATAATCGAGAAAGGCAAGATTTAGAAGAGAATCGGATTTTAAGAGCAGAAAAAGTTTTTGCATCAATGAAACGACCAAAAATAGTTCAGTGGGTTAAGAAGATAAGCAAAAGTGATTTCCACGAAAATAAGAGAAGTTTTTTAGGGTTGAGATAATCACAAAATGTAGGAATTGGATGGCTACGGTAATCCTTACCAAGCAGCCATCAACGGTGACAACCGATTTGAACATTCCAAGTCGTTCTCACATGCTTCCATTGCCAGCTTACACTCAGTGGTAACATTAGGCTCTTGACCCGCTGCCATATACAGTAATCCATAGAGTAACAATGTCGAATACATTCGTTGCATAGTCATCCGTTTCTGGAAAAATCAGATTTTAGTGACTTTTTAAATGCTGGCGTATCGGATGGGCGAGAATGGATAAATAAAGAGCCGAAGGAAAAAAAATCCCAGCGAAAAAAATTCTGGCTAGTCAGCGGCTAGCACTCATTGTGTGTGCAGATTGGAGACGCAGTTCGCCGCCGGTGGCGATTTTCCAAAATGGGCGTGGCCGCAAGCGGTGGAACGCGGACAGGCCACGCCCATCGGAGCGGAGCCTGGGAAAAACAAAGAGTGGAAGACGATGAACAAGCACACCTATCACGAACACACCATTAAGCAGGTGTCAAAGTGAGCAGATTAGAGGGCTGGGTGGGGGTTCAGGACGGGTTTGGGGGAGTACTAGGGGGGTACCAGGGGTGGGGATATTTTGCGGGTTAGAGATGCAGAGTAGGAGGACTCAAAATCATGAACGAGTCCCACATTACGATCCTACTGAACATCTCTTTGCCTTACAAATTCTGGACACGCCCGACTAATCCAGAATTCCCCTTCCATTTCCAACTTAAATCCCGTTCTTTTCCCAACTTTTTTGGTGATCTTTCTTTCTATTCCAATTTCCTTCAAAGTCCGCATTTTAATTGGCACACGAGCTTAAAATGACTTAACTATGCGCTCTTCTTCGAGCTTCATGCTGCAAAACAGGTCACCTTCTATAGCTTCCAGAGTTAATTAGTTTAGAAATGAGGGTAATTTGAGAAGATTTGAGACATGACTAACATTGGCTGACATTTGAAGATATAAGCCGTAATTTGAGGTATACCCTACAGTGGTCTGTCCTTCTTAAGGAGTTTTTACGATGAACTAGATGAACTGCTGTAAGCATAGGCTGTAGACTTTCATTAAAAGTTATCATTTATGCAAATACTTATTTAAAAACACCATACTGAGACTGCGCGTTTAATATTTTTTTATTGTTGAGCAGATACTAAATTCAGAAGCATATCATTATATATTTCTGCACCTTTTTATTCAAAACTTCATATAAAAGTGATTCATATGAGTAAAAGCCGTACATAATCTGCTAAGGCGAGTTTGCGTGTTTATGGCAGATGCGAAAAAGGGGATATAATAACTCAGTTCTCAGGTGACAAGATAAAAGCTATCTTCAGCTTTTTCCTTGAGAAAGACGACATATGAGGAGAGCGTTATTGTGCAGGTTAATAGGGCATTCATAAGCGAGGTGGCCTGAAGATAAGGGGCACTTACTGTAGGACGAAACTTCCCGGAATCAGTTTTTTTCAAGCTTTATTAGCGTCACTACAGTTGAGGGTGGAAGGAGGCGCCTAGAGTTTTAAGAGCGATACTGCTACACTTTCGAACGATTATCAATTAGTTCGAAGCTATTATGATGACTAGAGCTTTTTTTATTTCCCAAGGTTTTTCAAGAGCGAAGTGAAAAAGTGATCATAGCATTCCAACCTTGAAGATTAATTAGAGGAGTTAATTAGATCCATTATAAAATATTAATTAGAGCACTCATTACCCCTCGTGATATGCGCTATTGTTGGCCTTCCAGGGCAGCAGCTCAATCAAAGATCCCGCGTTACTCTGTCCAGTCTCCTCCTTCACCAACCCCCAATGTCAATCATAATGACATGCTCAATACATTTTAATAGCGAGAATATCCGTTTTGGGTGTTCGCCTACAATTCTCGTCATAGTCGAGGGAGAAAAAAAGCAATCCATGTGTGCGCTGTGAGGTGCGCATGATTCTGGATCATTTCAAGTGGTCCGCAGCTAGTTCGACACAATCAACACCACTGTTTTTGCTGTATGTATGCGTATTCTGTATTGAATACAAGTTTTTAGCGATTTCTTGATTGAGTCGATCGGCGCAAAAAAAAA